ATAATCAAGCCTAGTTTAGATGTTTAAGTATACCAACTCAAGGAAAACTGGTCTCAAATAGATCCTAACCTTTAACTTGACTGGTATTTCTAAATATGAACTTTCATGCTCAGGTGTTTAGGAATTCTATTTAATAGCTGAAATGATGAAACAAGGAAATATGGAAAAAGTATGACACCCTCTCCCAAAAAGAATCCCTGCTTTTTGTAGGTTTTAGTAGTTCATCAGCATTTGTTTTCTTATCTAAACTAAGAAAGAATGATGTCATAGACATCAGCTACATTTCTGCCCAGAAATGACATAATTTTCCTGACCTAGGAACTAAGACAAATCTAGGAACTGACAAAATTGGATGAAATTTAACTATAGTAAAATACACATTTACAAATCAAGAGCTACTTCTGATAAATACCCTTGAGTTATTTCAAAACATAACCATAATACCAGTAAGCTAGATCGTTATGTTTGAAAACATCAGATTTATATAATTGCATGCAAATAAAAATAATTCAAGTTTTAACCACAAGTTCCTTATTGAAACAATTCTTTGTTTCTTAAAAGGAAAATAAATCTCAATTGTCTAAGAACTAAACTAGAGCAGTGAAACAACTTATCTGACTTCTACAATCCTCCCATTATTTCCTAGACTATATTATCTATATTGAAACTTGAGATTTCCACTAATAACAGCAATAGGTAAGATTTTTCCATTATCAAAACATATTCTTTAATGCCTAGATGGTTTAATCTGCAAAATGGTCCCTACTGGATGAGACCATAAACACGTTAATAACAAAAAGTCAGCAAGTAGGCAGTAACACTGATAAATCTGTCCATGAATTTAAGTTAAGCCAACCCATACTTAAGGTTTTTTTTTTTTAAAGAAGTAATGTGCTTAAAAACAAGAGTAGCTTGTTCCTATGTAGTTTCCTCCCATTAACAACTGTTTTCTAAAAGTTGAACTGAATCAAGATTTCATTGTCATTTTTTTATTTTTGCCGACTGAGCCTCGAATATGCTACCACTGAGCTATATTCCCAGCTCTCCTCTTTTTCAGACAGACTTACGAAGTTGCCCAGGACAGCACTGAGCTCACTTTATAAGCCAATTAAGAATTAAACTTGCGATTCACCTGCCTCAGCCTCCCAAGTAGCAGGAATTTCAGACTTTGACATAGGGTCGGTGTCCTTTTTATTTTTCAATCATGTCCCATTCGTGACAACATTTTCCCCAAATAAATCAAGATTTACCTCCTTAAGCTCAAAAATACAAAACCTGATGTATAAAGTGAGATGTACTTACTGGCTTCAAACAAGCCTAACTTTCTATACACGAAATAGAAATCTTCAGAGAAAGGAACTCAGAAGCCTAAAGCCTTTCTAATTCACAATAGAGTTTTGTCCAATTAGACAACACTGAGTTTTATTGTTGCTGAAGCTATAAGGGTAGATAGGCAATCTGCAATAACTATCCCAACAGCTTCCATGAAGTTCCATGCTACCACTGGAAGTAGCAGTTAGCTGGTCGTCCCCCCCCAAAAAAAAATGTCGGCACAAGCCTCACCATCAGAAAATAAAGCCCATCATCACCTCTTCCGAGAAATAGTTCCCTTCCCCCACCTTTAAGTAGCCACTTAAGACTGCCAAGGAGATCCATTTCTTTATTAGCCGGTGCCCACTTGGGGCAATCGTACACCAAAGCAGCTCTGAAGGGCCTGCCCTAATCCCGTCTGAAACTGCTCTCTTAAGAGACTCAAGGGATAGGATAAACCTGGATTCTTTGACACCTCTTCCACACTCCCTCCCTCCTCCAGCCCGCCCCTGTAGCCCCTGCTCCTGCAGGAGGAAGGACACCCGGGCCGTGGTCATGCAGGA